TAAGGCTAAATAAAGTAAGACTAAACATTGAAGAGTAGGCTTCTCAAATATTAAACTGTCAGTTTTTCCACTGTCATAAGCCAGGATAAAAGTTAAATAAGCTTTTCATCCTCCTCATTATATAGTCATTCCTAGTTACCTCCACAACCACACCCATACCCCTTATGTCTCCAAAAGTCCAAGGAGAGATGACTTTCTTCTCAGCTTCTGTTATCACATAAAGCCCCACATTCTTCAATAGAAGGAGTACAGTTAACTTCTGTGCAGAGTGCGTAAGGAAGGTGGTCTTTTACCGCTCTTCCTCACTTTATAAAGTTACCAAGGACTATCCCTGTAGGAGGGGGACGTGGTGGTTCCTGGGTAGAATTCTCACCTACCATGCAGGAGACCTGGGTTCAATTCCTGGTCAATAGAACTCATCTGCAGCCACCACCTGTCTATCAGTGAAAGCTTGCATGTTGCTGTGATGCTGAACAGGTTTCAGCAGAGCTTCCAGACTAAGATGGACCCCAGCTGATCATGGGGATGGTGCAGGACTGGACAGTGTTTCGTTCAGTTGTGGGTAAGGTTGCCATGAGTAAGGGCCGACTCAAAAGCAGCTAACAACAACAGTATGCTTCTAGGGTGTTCTCCAAAGAGTGGATAGCAATAGAAGTACCCTTGAGATGCAAAGTGCTAATAATCAATTGGTATACCAGTTATTCCAGGCAAGGTCTAAAGCTCCAAGACCTTAGATTCCAATGTTATTCACTGGCATGCTCTTTTATGCATCTTATTATGATATCCTTCAGATTTTAATATTATAAACAGTAGGACTCTAGGGAATCTTAAGGTCTTAGAGATACTCATATGCGTGCCAAAACCCTTATAAATTTTCTGGTGTTCACATACTGTGCACTGATAATAAAGATATTATTTAAGCAAATATATTATTTCTGATATCTGTGCATGGTAATTGACTTTCAGAGTTAAATACATTAAAAGATCATTGTTTTGGGCATATTTGGATAATTTTTATGAATATAGTTAAGTGTGAACTCATTAAGGATAGGAGCCTTGGTTTATTAATGTGTTTATCTCCTATACTTAGAATAATACCAGCATTTAGCAGGCATTTGATGAGTATTTGATGAATGGGTAGATGGATGGATGGATGTAAAATGAAATATAATAAGTCCTTTCAGTATCTAAGGACAAAACATGCATAATTAGAATACAAATGAGAATGGCTCAGTTTATTTCGGTCCATTTTTGTGTCCATGTAAGTTAGTTATTTCTCAAGTGACCTAGCACTACAGTGTGATAGGACAAAATATTGTAATTAAGTTTAACATAAAATCTGATTAAAGGGTCCACATTATATAGGCATTTTGTTAGTAACTTGGGGTGCTTTATAAACTGCTTGATTTGTATATATTGTCAAGAGTTTAACCAACATTTATTGAGCCTGCTATGTGACAGGGTCTATGTTGACCAAAATTATAATTTTGTTTATTGACTAGTTTTTAACCCCATAAGGTGGAGAACACATCTATCTTGTTCATCATTGTATCCTTAACACTCAGCTCAATTCCTGCCATGTATTATATTGCCAATAAATGTTTATTGTAATGAATGAAATATAGTGAACAAGATATGTTTCTGCTTTTAAGTAACATAGTCTAGGAGGAGAAGGGATGACAGAATGTGGTAAGTTTTGTAAGAGTAGGTGTTATTAGATTCAGGTGCTAAAGAATAATTAACTGTTGAAAATAATTTTATGTTTGAGTAGCTAAAGCACAGTGTGAGAGCTATTAAAGTCTTAGAAGGCCTAACTACATAGTAGATAGGCAACTTGAATGGTGTCTGAGAAAAAAGAGAATAGAAGTAGTAGTAGGTGAAGAGTACATAAATTAGTCCCTTTGAGGATAGTTAGAAAGATGGGGTCTGTGTATTTCCCAAATAGTGAGAGGCTACTGTAGAACTTGAGAACCAGGTAATACTACTGGCCTCAGAAACAAAACTAAGAATATCCCCAAATAGTTGATGTGGTAGAAACAAGCTACATTATAGTTGAGGGAAGGTATAAACAAAAGGAGGAAGGGCATTGACGGTCACCCCCAATAATCCATAGATATTGAAAAATGATTAACAATTATTTACTGATATTCCTTTGAAGAGTTAACATGTTTTCCCCTTGACTCACCCATGGTGCCTGATTTATTAAGAGAGGTGATTTAGACACTTCGAAGAGTAGAAGTTGATGAAGGGCAATAGAAGCCTGGCCTGGGAATTGGAGGCCCTAAAGACTAACACTCTAATTGCAGCTCTGTCACTACTGGGCTATTCTGCCTGGAGAATGTACTTGTCGTTTTGAGGCCTAGTTTTCTCATCTTATTAATAAAGTGTTGGACTTTAAAGAGTTCCTCCCACTCTAAAACGGTGTCATCCTGCCAATTTTATCATTTTATAATCTAGCACAATCTTAATAACATTTTTAAAAAAGATATCTTTTTTAAAAAGTTGAGGAGACTTTGGAATCTGAGAGCAAGAATAAGGTGATTGCAGGGAATTGAGTGAGATACTGCCACTTGATAGGAAATGGGCTGTTTGCCTTCTAGACCCAAACACATCTTGAGACATTGAATAGGAGTATCTGTAGGCAGAATGGGGCTTAATTTTTGTTCTGTTTTATTAAAAAGAAGGAAATTGTTCTTGACTTTAATGATTTATTTTACTGTATCATAAATTGAACCAAAAATCTTAGATTCAATCACATCCTTAAATATTATGTCATTGTTATCTGGATTACTTTGTAACATAAGTTTCTCAGCATTAAGAGGGAAGGAGCAAATCCTTTATTGAGAATTCAAATTGAATATATATAGAACTAGTTCTATAATTACCTCAGTCATTTGGACTGTCAAGAAACTTGCTTTAACTTGCATTACCTTAATATAGGGTATTTTTTTATTCTTTTGCTTTAAATAGCAATAAAATTGCCCAACTCTCTACTTTGTTCTGTGCTATTCGTGTTTTCCCACCAAATGATTGCTCCATGATTGACAGGGAAACTTTTACTAGTCCCCTTGAAGGATTGATACTCAGTGTAGCTTAGCCAGATAATATATATATATATTTCACTTGGGGAATATCAGGATAAATGCAATTGAGAGAATCATTGCCATCTGATATACTACCCTATGTAGGGACAACTTTTTAAATCCACAAGTCACTGCAATTCTATTGGGCCACTTATGTGACAAGAGATGGCCCACTCCCGCATTAGGAGTTTGGCAGAGCTAGCACTTCTCTTTGCCAAAAAGGGCAAAGGCCTTGAGCAAGAAGCCAGCTTTTTCCTGATTACAAAACTGACCACAATTCCTCGCCAACCCATCAGTATAAGTCTATTTTTTCCTAGTAATGCATTCTTCACAGAGAGAACTCTGCATTTTTCATTATAATATGGCATTTATCATTTAAACTTCAGCTGATGTTTAAACATCAACTGATGCAACATTGCTGCATTTGTTATTGATGGATAAACTTGATCAAGTTTTGAAAAAGCAAACCTAATATATACAATCAAAACCATATCAAGCCCTACCCAAAGAGACATGTAGATATAATGCAATCCCAATCTAAATTCCAATAACATTCTTTACCGAAATGGAAAACATCACCAACTTTATATGCAAAGGAAAGAGATCACAAATAGCCAAAGGAATGTAGAAGAAGAAGAAGGAGAACAAAGTAGGAGGCTTCACACTCCCGACCTCAAAACATACTATACAGCCACAGTAATCAAAACAGCCTGGTACTGGTTCAATGACAGACATATTGACCAATGGAATAGAATTAAGAACCCAGAATAAATTCATTCATCTATGGGCAGCTGATTTTTCATAAAAGGTCAAAGTCCATTCAGTGGGGTAGATGTAGTGTCTCTAAAAAATGGTGCTGGCAAAACTGGATATTCATTTGCAGAAAAATGAAACAGGATCCATACCTCACACCATACAAAAAAACTAACTCAGAATTGATCTAAATGACCTAAATGTTAAAGCCAGAACTATAAAGTTCCTGGACGATAATTTAGGGACAAAACTATGAGACCTAATTTTTGTCAGTAATAGATTACCAAGCACAACTACAAATGCATGAGCAACAGAAGACAAGTTAGATAACTGGGACTGCCTAAAATTTAATTCATCAAAAAACTTTATCAGAAGAGTAAAAAGGGAACCTACAGATTGGAAAAAAATCTTCGGGAATTATATATCTGATAAGAGTCTAATCTCTAATATATATAGAAAACTTTGACAAGTCAACATCAGACTATTAACTCAATTAAAAAAACAGGCAAAGGATATGAACAAGCACTTCACCAAAGAGGACATTCAAGCACCCAACAAACACGTGAAAAGATTCTCGTGATCATTAGCCATTAGAGAGATGCAGATCAAAACTACAGTGAGATACCATCTCACCCCTGCCAAAATGGCACTGATCAAAAACAACAGAAGAAAACAAATGCTGGTGAGATTGCAGGGAGATTGGAAACTTGTTCCATTGCTAGTAGGGATTGTAAATTGGTTCCACCTCTATGGAAAACAGTATGACGCTTCCTCAAAAAGCTAGAAAAAGAAATACCCTATGATCCAGCAATCTCATTTCTAGGCATTTACCCTAAAGAACTAAAACTATTGACACAAACAGACATGCACACCTAGGTCCATTGCAGCACTATTCACAATAGCAAAAAGATGGAAACAACCTAACTGCCTATCAACAGATGAATGGATAAACAAATTGTGGTACATACACACAATGGAATACTATGCTGCCATAAAGAATAATGACACCTTCTCAAAATACATTATAACATGGGTGAATCTGGTAGACATTTTGCTAAGTGAAATAAGTCAATCACAGAAGGGAAAATACTGTATGATCTCACTATTACAAAAAGACAAGAATAGTTATACATACAGAAAGCAACATTCTTTAGTGGTTACCAGGGATGGGAGGGAAATGGAGGGGGGATCACTTTCTAGATAGTAGATACTTGTTAGTCTTGGTGATGGGTAAGACGATACTGAATAAGGGTGAAGTCAGCACAACTTGACCAAGGTAAATGATGACAAGAATAAGAGATGATTTTGGTAAAAGCCACAACATATACAATTTTGCAACAACAGTAGTAACAACCAAAAAATATGCATGTGGTTACATATGGAGGTGTATACTTGTATATGTATAGGTTAAAAAACGCCTGAGTGGTGTAAATGGTTAATGCACTCAGCTGCTAACCAAAAGGCTGGAGGTCCAAGTCCACCCAGAGATGCCTTGGAAGAAAGGCCTAGAGATCTACTTCTGAAAAGTCATCTACTGAAAACCCTATGGAGCACAGTTCTACTCTGACACACACGCGGTTGCCATGAGTCATAATCTACTCAACAGCAGCTGGTAAAAGCAGTAGAATAAATACCTTAGGATTATAACATTTCAGTAGCATGCTGATAACAAATTTAAAATATGAGTGCATATTTGAATTCAGAAGTTTACTTCAGGTAACGTGGCTAGAGATTCAATCAGGGATGGACAGCTAGAAAAAAAACTTTGTCCAAATAAATTCATCTGGTATTTCATAACCCTGGGATTTAAAGTTTTCCATTTTAAGAAGCACTTGAATATTGAACAATCTCCTTGCTCTGATAATTCTAAATACTGTACAGTTTATACCTCTCACAAGACTCTGAACATGTGGGTCACTGGCGAGACAGTGTGGCAATGTTTTTCTTGTAATGTACCAAGTCTTGCCAAAGCAGTGAGCAGCATTATGACACCGTATTTTGTCACAGCTGGCTCTCTTAACAGGACAGTGCCAGCCAATTCAGGCCTGGTCCTTCCTGTGTTTATTCCCACTTCTCCCAAATATTTGGAAACTGGTATCTTGATTCACTGGTGTATTTGCGTATTTTATTACTGCAAGTTTTTTTCTTTTAATGGATTGATTCTTTGCGAGGAATAGACAAAATATCAGTGTGAATCACAGCGAATCCCTGTTCCATGCTGGTATGGGGGAAACTCTGGGAGATTCTCTCATTGACCCTGAGAGCTGTTCCTTCAGTGATACACTGTCTGCAAGCAGTTCACAAGGTAAAGTCTATTCTAGAAAGGGATATTGGGGATACTTCAGATGTTAAGTAAGGGTAAAATTGCTCATCTAGCTTCAAACTAGAGATAAGTTGTTTTTCAAAGTATATTTCTTCTAATACTATCATGTTAATGCTTAGTTTTCTGCCCTAGTGTTCACTCATAAAGCATATTCAAAATCTTTGGGAAAAAAAAACTAATATTTTGTTTATGTGCGTGGTTCTCACTTCCTGAATTGTAGGCATTATATCCAAAACCAATCCTATTCATTTTTATTTCCTGAGTTTGCATACATTTCCCAAAAATACTTCAGGGATTTTTGGAATATTTCAAGGGTCGCTTCCCCCCTGCCATTGGTCTTTTATGCTAGATATTTCTCACAGTACTTTTTATTCCTCTTCCAACACTTTTATTCCTCTTAAAGCACTCGCAGTACTTTTCTGTTCTACTTTGAAATCTAGGTATTTGTGTGTACGTGTAAGAATCGTAAGCTACCAGAGTATAGGAACGAAGTTATATTCTTTCTTATGTTTCTTAGGATACCTAGCATAGTACCCACTCCATTGTAGAAGAATAGATTGTGGGGACCTTGAAGAATATATCTATTCTAAGCATCTCATTTCACACTCGAAGTAAATGAGATTCCTAAAAGGTTAAATGCTTATTGCGTGCTAAATCAATTATTAACTATTACTTCTATTAGGATATGAAAGAGTCAAACAGATACTTCATTTTTCAACATTTCTTTCTTGGCCACTGCCTAATGTAAGTTCTTCATTTCTACAGCTCCTTCTACTGGAATTTCTTAGCACAGCTTCATATGTTTTGTATTGTTTTGTATTTATTTCTGTTTGTTTTATTTTTTCTCTTCTCATAGGTTCTATGTAAAAGTAGCTTGTGTTAACTAGTGTGATTCATGTTTTATAGTATAAGTGCTAAGGCATTAAAATTAAGTCACTTAATTGTTTAAATGGATGCCTCTATTTTAAGCTTTTAATCTGAAAGTCTAGAATTTTAACATATTAATCACAAATTTTAAAAACATATTTTTTTAAAAATTAAGAAAAAATATTTCTCGAAATACTATTTCATTTTATTATAATCTTTTGGCAATGTATATTTCTATCATTCTGAATCTCTTAAATAGGACCTTATTTTCATTATACTGTATAAAATGATGGTATTCTATTTTTTGCAAGTCATAAAAATTATTGCTGTCTTTCTTCAGTTATTAATTTAGCCTGCATTAGGACAAAATGTCCTAGCTATTCCATGAAATAGTTCTTGAATCAAAATGTGATGGTTTTCTCTGTTTGAAAAGAATATGTCTAGAATGTAATACAACGAATCTTTTAGGTTAGCTAGGGGCAAGTACTGTTTATTGTAAGAAAGGTTATGTGATTCAAGTTAGCTTTCATTCTATATTAATCTTGTATTTTTAATGGCTTGAATTTTCCCTGTTTAATCCCCTCCAAAAGCAGAACTCAGTACTTCTTTAAAAAAAAAAAAATTATTATGGTAAAATGTATTATAACAAAAAAATTGCCATTTTAATAATTTTAAGTGTGCAATTCAGTAATATTAATTACATTCACAATGTTGTGTGCCATCATCACTATCTATTTCCAAAAGTTTTTCATCACTCCAAAAAGAAATCTGTATCCCTTAAGCAATAACTTCCCATTCTCCCCTCCTCCCAACCCTGGTAGCCACTGGTCTACTTTTGTGTCTATGCATTTGCCTATTATTTTGCCAAATATGTGCCTTATATTTCATATAAGTGGGGTTATACTTGTCCTTTTGTGTCTAAATTATTTCACTCAGCATAATGTTTTCAAGGTTCATCCCTGCATAGCATGTATCAGGACTTCATTTCTCTTTATGGCTGAGTAACATCCCATTGTATGTATTTACCACATTTGTTTATCCATTCATTTGTTGATGGACACTTGAGTGGGTTCCACCTTTTGGCTATTGTGAATAGTGCTGTAATGTACATTTTTGTATCTGATGAGTCCCTGCTGTCAAGCATTTTAGGTATATATCTAAGGGTGAAATTGCTGGATCATAGTACTTTTCTTTGTAACTAACAGGATATAGAATAGAATGATTAGCAATAACAAACACATATTTTGTACCAGTAATTTAGCCCTTGGTCTCATATTGTCTTACATGGTCTCTGATTACTTCTTACTCATAAGTGTTGTTTTCTGTTAAGAATATGAGTTCCTAAAGGCCAAAGACTTGTGATGGTTACTTCCGTTGTATTTTGTGGGTACCCAGTAAATACCGATAGGGACAATTTCAAATGCCAACCCCTGCCAAAACAGACAGATAAACTTGAAAGTAAATGAGGAATATGATCATTATTAGCTATTTGGAGCCAGCAAAGGTGAAACACCCACCTAAAACTCAGAGCTTAGGTATTTGGTCTAGGTGCGGCAGCTGGTTTAGGTCTCCGTCTTCCTTGTCATAGGCAAAGTGGAGTTGGGGGCTGTTGCAAGCAGCTAGGTATTGCTGTAGAAGAAAAACAGACTCTTTTTATTGTGAACTATTCAGACGTTCAGCTATATTGGCCATATTCGTGAGCTAAAAATCTCCACTATCCTTGACCACCATGACCAAAGAGGACTTGCACACTTTTTACTGAGCCCTGTTATCACTGTGACCTCTGTATCTTAGTCCTTTCTCAGTTTTCATCATGAGGTTCTCAAGCAACCTTAAGTAACCCCATGCTGGCTCCAAAACCATTTCCACTAGTAAAAATTGGCAAGACCAAAGGGACGCTTCCACAAGCTCAAGCTGAATATGCTTCTTGCTTTTGGTGCCAGACTTGGTCCTGTGTGAATTTTATAATTTGAAGTTGTTGCACCAGAGCACTGAGCAATGATGACACACTTGTCCTTTAGAGCTGATTGAGCAATGGAAATATGCCTTAGAGACATGATAAATACTGCAATAGAAGAGGCTTCGGAATGAAAGGCTCTCCTGAGATAGGAGTAAATGAGGGATTGCATGCCATGTTTATTGGGGGGGATACTTAAACTGAGTCTGCTTGACTCCAGGCAGCTCCATCCTGGGAAGAGTTTACATGACTGACCAAAGTTTTCACCTTTCCAGAAGTTGGAGATGATAAGGGACATGTGTAGTATCAGGGAATAGAAGTACCTAGCCTCTCTTGGCAACAAACTTGCTTTGTGAATTTGAGCAAGGCACTTATCTTCTCTTGCCCTTGGTTCCCACATATATGAGCAGAAGATACAGGATTATCGTGAGGATTAAATGAGACTGTATTTACAAAAGCACTTTTTAAACTCTAAAGCTCTTTGTAGAGATTATTGTTTAGGCCTTGTAGTATTAATCACTTGTGGGTTGCATAGAAGGCCCTGATATAATATCCTAAATTTGAAGCTTTTTAAGGAATCTGAAAAAGCAAAAACTGCAGATTTCTTTATGTACTAAAATAAAAACAAACAGAAAAACCAGTTGCTGTCAACTCATTTCCTGCTCATGGTGACCCTGTGTGTGTGGGAGTAGAACTGTGCTCCACAGGGTTTTCAAATGGCTGATTTTTGAAAGTAGATTTCCAGGCATTTCTTTCAAGGCACCTCTGGGTTGTCTTGAACCTCCAACCTTTTGGCTAGCAGCCAAGCGTGTAAACCCTATTTATTTATTTAAAAAAAAAAAACCAAACCCCCTGCCGTCGAGTCAATTCCGACTCATAGCGACCTTAATTTATTTAAAATAGGTGGCAGTTATTTGAGTGAGATGAGGCTTCTGCAAAACCTCATGCAGTGTTTTGATAAGGAAACAATCAAACTTAGAGAAAGCATCTTTAGTGTCTGATATTTTTTAATGGTGGAATTACTTCCAGCTTTTATTCACATTTGTCTGTAAAGAGATTGAATTTCCAAAGACTGAAATCATTCTTTGGGCCTAAATGAGAGTGATGATTATGTTTTCTTCTTGGAGACATTAGAAAACTGTCTTAGATGATAATGCTGTCTATATGATGAAGTGGAAGTTCAGAAAACATTTAGGTTATTGACATGACTCTGAATTTTGTAAGCTCACGTGTAATAACAATTCAGGGGCTTTTTCTAAAATTTTACCTTGACTGCATTAATTTTCTTCGGAGTATGGCTCTGGTTTTATCACTTATTTCTAATTTAACCGTTCAAATCTCTTTCCTGATCACGAAGACTTAGTAGATATGATACATTTCTCTGAGAGTCTCTTCACTATGTTCCCCAAAATTCTCATTTCTCAAGTACTTTTCTCCAAAATTATGAATTATAGGAAACACCCAAAATGAATGTTGTTTATAGTAAACGCTTATAAGAAAACATAGTGTCAGTTTTTTTTTAATCTTCTTTTCCTCCTGAATCCATAAGAAATACAACTTGTCTTGAAAGCTACCTGACAGCAACTCAACGACAACTGGTTATTTAAGATTAGGTATAAGACATGGGCCACTAAATAAAAAACATTTTTTATATCTCTGCTAGCGATTGTCATAGATTAGTATTTTTGTCAACATTCTCACTTATAACTTTAGTAAGATAACCTCGGGGAGGTTCTAAAATCACCATAGCCGCTTGTAAAATAGGTATTTTTGGGGTCAGAGAAAATCTGAGTAAACTTCTTCACTATATTAGATCAACAGAAGTGATACAAAGTTTCTGTTATTTTATCTCCCTTTGGACACCTTAAGTTAGGCATGCTAGAGGTTGTCCAGTAAATGCCCTGTGTTCATCCACAGTGTGTATAATTGTGAAAATATTTGTGATGGAGAATGAATTGGACGCATGTGAGTGGATCCCAGTTTCTCTAAATGCCCAACTCGTCACCTTTTTGTGATGCAGCTTTGCACCTGTAACCAATTTAGAGCCACATAAATTGCACGTGGAACCAATAGAAACGGCAATCTAACTCTTGTAACTTCAGAATTAAGATCACATGGTTGTTTGAGTACACAGTTTTTTAGACCCATGTAATTTTTT